TCTCCTACACTCTGCACTCCGCACTCTCTCCTACACATACTATTCTCTGTCATACCCTCCGCACTCCTCTCCTACACATACTATCTCTCTGTCATACCCTCCGCACTCCTCTCCTACACATACTATTCTCTGTCATACCCTCCGCACCTCTCCTCCTACACATAATATTCTCTGTCCATACCCTCCGCACTCCTCTCCTACACATACTATCCTGTACATCCTCTTGCTGCCGTCATATTCACACTGCTCTCACAGCTTTTTCACACCAGTTGCATATTGGTACTATACTGGCAGCTATTTCTTGCACAGCCCCACCACATAATCAAGGCAAAATACTTTATTTCTACTGATGTCAGTTCATACCACATAGTTCTGTGAAAAAAAGTGAACAGTGCAATGTGCCGGAATCAGTACTTGGGCACTTTGCCAGTACACAGCAATGGCTATAGGTTCAGCGTGGCTTGCTGGTGTGAACGAGCCCTAAAAACAATTCTTCAGCGTTACTTGTAATATATGTGACCTTGCCCATTCTGGAACTGGCACGCTTTCGCTGGTAGAGTATGAAAGGTAAATTTCAGGCTGGCCTTTAAATAACAGCAATACATCGCTAACCATTACGAGTACTGAGAGCAAAACACACCATCAAAAGAGATATTTTATTTCATAATCCTCAGTAAAATGTTTCACTTAGTTCTGCATCATTCACCTTTATGTGACATGCAGGCTGAACACTAAACCATCATCCCGTTCTGGTTCTCTACCGTTGATAGTGTGCACAGCTGAGAGAGCGCAGTCCCCGCATGGACAGAGATAAGGTGAAAGGTGTTACTAACATCTGAAATTACAGCATAAAAAATGACAGATACACACTCTGTCCTGGCAGCTAGCTTAATAAAAAGTTACTAAAAGAGTTGTGTACGTAAAATGCTGAAACCCCCCCAGCAGATTTGCATTACTGTGCCCAGAGAAATGAAAGCTTAAATTCAGGATAAGCAAATTTTGTCTAAATACAAGAGGTATCTGTAGTCTTACACAATCTTCTAATATATTCAGTAATTCAGTGTGAAACTTTGACTCTGTGAAATGAAGACCAGTCAATACTGCTCTCCCCTCCCCCCTCCCCCCTCTTATTGTGCAGGGAGACTGGCCTTGTCTCCGCCCCCTCCATTACTTTTCTGTAGACAGCCTGTAGTGGGTGGACCTGCTAGGCCCCTCCCACAGCTCTGCGCTCTGCACAGGCTATGTACAGCACAGTGATGATGTCACTGCTACTTTTACAAAGTAAAGGGTATGCAAAAATGTTTGGTCCACACAAACTACATTTATATCCTTTGTGGCTATTGAGGAATATATTGTATTTAATTTTTTTTTTGTGCTCAGAGTTCAGCTATAAAATTTCATACATCATTATAAGGGATCTCTAAACTCCCCCAACTTTTAAGATATTATGTTTCAAATTTCAAATATTTTCTTACAAGATTCACATTACTTTTACCAAGGATTCACATGTTTATACAAATGAATCAAATCAGAAGAATATGTGAATCTTGAGTTAAAACCTTTAGAAGCAGACTTCAGGCAAAACTTTGTTCTGTTTCTGTAAAGAATGGGAAATGATTGAAACATATGTCAATTTTTTTTATTGCTGTCTGAGTCCCCTATGGGAAGATGTCCTATGCCCACAACTCAACTGGAAGTTACAGGAAATATCCCCAAAGTAAAGCAAAAAGTAAATTGGACAATTGCCACCAGCACACGTGTCTCCATTGGGACGTTGCCTCTCTACACTTGCTTCAGTGACAATTGTAACATTTTAGATGGTAGCTTACATTTTGTACTAGTGACTGCTGAATCTCCCCAACAAAGGCACGTCAACATTAAAAACCTGCCATGGCTTTCCTTTTACACTATTCCAAAAACAGTAGTTTTGCATGGGATTTTATTTAAACTCAACTCTCACCCTAAAATGTAAAGTTCATCTGTAGCTTCTGAATTTAAAGCAGAACTCAAGATAAAAATAAATAAATCATCAAAAGTTAAAGTAAAAAGCCTAACTTTGCTGATGTATTCGACCTTCAGTCCTAAAATTGCCTCCACAAGACTTTTTTGCGGCTGCTGCAGTAGATGTCTTTAATCTGGCATCCAGCATCATTCTACTTACTTTTTGTCAGGGAACCACCCTAATCTGTAACTGAATATTGAAAGGAGATGCAACACAGTGATTAGCTCATCTCTCTGTCATTCTGCTTTCTCCTCCTGTCAGCATGCTTCTTCTCAGCACATGAGCTGATTGGCTCCTTGTACTGTTTCTTCTTCTCACACTCCATAACTACTGTACAGGCTGCAAGAGGCAGATACCAAGTCACATTCAATTACTTACACTGTTTGCTGGGGCATGTGGGGCATGCTGGGTTGGTGACGTCACAAGAGGGGGGTCACCTGGTGATGGTGGGGGGTGGCCCGCCCCTTAATTATTTAGGAACTGTCAAATGGCGGGAGCCAGTGTCGGGAGTGGAGCTCTTCTTTTATTTATTATTATTATTTATTACAGGTATTTATATAGTCAATTTATGCAGAGCTTTACATATACAGGTGAAACTCACAAAATTAGAATATCCTGCAAAAGTTCATTTATTTCAGTAATGCAACTTAAAAGGTGAAACTAATATATGAGATAGACTCATTACATGCAAAGCAAGATAGTTCAAGACGTGATTTGTCATAATTGTGATGATTATGGCTTACAGCTCATGAAAACCCCAAATCCACAATCTCAGAAAATTAGAATATTGTAAAAGGTGCAATATTCTCGGCTCAAAGTGTTCCACTCTAATCAGCTAATTAAGCCATAACACCTGCAAAGGGTTCCTGAGCCTTTAAATGGTCTCTCAGTCTGGTTCAGTAGCAATCACAATCATGGGAAAAACTGCTGACCTGACAGTTGTGCAGAAAACCATCATTGACACCCTCCATAAGGAGGGAAAGCCTCAAAAGGTAATTGCAAAAGAAGGGGGTAAACGAGCGCTAGAAAGAAACACCAATAACAGAAAGCAGCTGACATAAAAGGTTAAACCTCCAACCCTCATAAAACATAGATTAAAAAATGCAGCGCTCTAAAAGAGTGACAGACTCATATATCAGTAAAAAATAAATATAAAGTAAAATCAATATAAACGCTCATATAACTCAATAAGAAAGCGTCTAAGTAAAACGCACATAAAACAGTTGTAACAGCTTGCGTATTATTATACAGCAGGAAAGTGCACAGTCCATACAAGGATGAAAATAAATGCGCTGTGGAGCGTAACAGTAATAGTGTTGATTGCATCTGAGTGTGACGCAAATGTCCAAAATACAGGTAAGTGAAAATCCGTGCTTCCAGTGAATATGGGAATGAGAGGATATTGCACTAACCAGATCGTGCAATTTAAAGCGACTCCTGGTCATCATCATCCTGGGGTAACCACGGGGATCATCTGGCATACATCTGCACATCAGCTGATCATCCACTGCTACTCTCTGGATTCACGAAAACTCTGCTTCAAGTGTGTATGTACCCAATATAAAGCACTTAAGGAATCCACCTTAATAACGCAAAATAATTGAGCCAGAAAGAGAAGTGCTTGATAGCGCAGTATGTTTATTAATTAAATTGTAGAACGTAATTTGACAGAAAGCACTCACATCTGGTATACAGGAATGAAGCTCAGGTATACAGGAATGTAGAAACAGTATCAAAGATGGCCGCCTGCCTCCCTTGTGGCTCGTGCGGTGTGACGTCACTGGTTTGGCTCCTCCCTAATGCATTTTGTGCACTTGCAAGTTTTCAAAGGCCTTTGAGAGAGTAGGATGGCTTGATTAGAATCACTCATATTTTGAGTACCCCACCCTGCGAAGTGCTGTAGTTGCACGTGTTTGAAATATAGTCTCCCAAAAGGTGCAGCAAGACCCCCACTATCTTTAGGTATTTGTAAAATAGGCAAGCAAATTCTGGGATTCCAAAATAAGAATTTGAAAGAGGGAGTCTATCCTTTTAAACCAGCTGTTAGGGACCCATACTGGGGAATTGTGCAAAATATATAATCACTGGGGTGCCCAAATCATTTGACCAGATTTGTTCGTCCCACCACTGACAAAGGTAGTTTAGACCAGGCTTTGCTTTTAAGTTTAAACTTATCCTAGACGGGCTGTAGAATATATCGTAAATATTCTTCCACACTATGATGAACCCAAACCCCAAGGTACTTAAAGGAGTCCATCACTTTAATATGCTGCATGCATTGCGGAAGCAGCAGTTGCTGGGAGGATAAGGGCAGGAGGACGGATTTGTCCCAGTTAATGGCAAACCTGGAGAAGGAACCAAATGTGGTTATTATGGACATAAGGGATGACAGAGTACCTTTAGTATCCCCCAGATACAGCAATGCATCATCAGTGTATAAGGATATTTTGTCTTCCCTGTCCTCCCTCTGGAACCCCAAAATGGATTTAGATTGATGGACAGCTGCCACAAGCAGCTCAATCTCTCATGTTTTGTTTACTTGCACCAAAACTCAGGATCTTGCTACAAATTTCTTTCTAGATGGTAGAAAACTCCCACTTGTGGGCAGAGCCACTTGCCCTGCACATTGGTATACCTTTCATGCGGGTGCGCACTCATGAATGCCCAGGACCAGGTAGACCAGCAGAAGTGCTCTCCCCTAGACCTAAAAGAGCAGATAATGAGAATTTTCAGATATCAGACTTGGGCTTTAAGTGTCTCTAAGTTTCATCTTGACATTCATATTTTGCACCTGATTGAACTGCTAGTAAAGATTACTGTAATCCATGGGGTCACATACACTATATTGCCAAAAGTATTCATATCATCGGATTCAGGTGTTCTAATCACCTCCATGGCCACAGGTGTATAAAATCAAGCACCTAGGCATGCAGACTGCTTCTACAAACATTGTGAAAGAATGGGTCGCTCTCAGGAGCTCAGTGAATTCAAGTGAGGTCCCGTGATAATTTGCCAGCTGTGCAATAAGTTCATCCGTGAACTTTCCTTGCTACTAAATATTCCATGGTCAACTGATAGTGGTATTATAACAAAGTGGAAGCAACTGGGAACCATAGCAACTAGGCCACATAAAATGACAGAGCAGGGTCAGCGCAGTGTGCAGAAGTCGCCAAATGTCTACAGAGTCAATAACTACAGACCTCCAAACTTTGTGTGGCCTTCAGATTAGCCCAACAACAGTGCAAAGAGAGCTTCATGGAATGGATTTCCATGTCTGAGCAGCTGCATCCAAGCCTTACATCACCAAGTGCAATGCAAAGTGTCTGATGCAGTTGTGTAAAGCATGCCGCCACTGGACTCTAGAGCAGTAGAGACTTGTTCTCTGGATTGATGAATCACACTTCTCTGTCTTATGGATGTGTCTAAAGTTTGGCGGTTGCCAGGAGAAAGGTACTTGCCTGGCTGCATTGTGCCAAGTGTAAAGTTTGGTGGAGCGGGGATTATGATGTGGGGTTGTTTTTCAGGGGTTGGGATTGGCCCCTTAGTTCCAGTGAAGGGAACTGTTAAGGTGTCAGCATACTAAGACATTTTGGACAATTTTATGCTTCCCTTTCTGTTCCAAAATGACTGCGCACCAGTGCACAAAGCAAAGTCCATAAAGACATGGATGAGTGGGTTTGGGGTAGACTTGACTTGACTGACCTGCACAGAGTCCTGACCTCAACCCAATAGAACACCTTTGGAATGAATTAGAGTGGAGAATGTGAGCCAGGCGTTCTCGTCCGACATCAGAGCCTGACCTCACATATTGTGCTTCTGGAAGAATGGTCAAACATTCCCATAGACACACTCCTAAACTTTGTGGACGGTCTTCCCAGAAGAGTTGAAGCTGTTATAGCTGCAAAGGGTGGGCCAACTCAATATTGAACCCTACGAACTAAGACTGGGATGCCATTAAAGTTCATGTGTGTGTAAAGGCAGGTGTCCCACTGGAGACTGGGTTATGTTTTGATTAAGATACCGTATAAGACATTATATAGGCCACAGACCTACATGGTTTTGGTCAGGAGTGACCCCATACCCAAACCGCCAAGCCCCACCCAGAGCTGGTTTTTAAAAAGGGCACTATACCTGCCAACAAACAAGATACAGACAGCAAAAAAATTTTTTTTAGTAGCTTTTATTAAAAATAACAAAAAAGATATTTTTGGCTTAGGTATTTTGGTGTGTTTCTTATTATATTCGTTATGCTTTAGTGGGGTTGACATTCAAAACCATGTTTTTTTAACTCTTCTTGTAGCTTGGTTTTATACCGGTGCCCCCCCCCCCCCCCCCCCCACTAGAGACTATTATTTTTGATTTGGATACATACAAGGCATTACTGTATATGCACAAAGGGCCTTTAGGATTTTATTTATTGTTTTTTCTATTATGTACAATTGTCATTGTTTCTGCTGTATATTATGTGAAAAAGGTAGATATAAAAAAAAACTGCTATAAGCAAACTTTTTTAAAGTACTTTGGAGTGACATTCTATATATGTATAGGCCACAGACCTACATGGTGTTGGAGACCCCCTTACCGAAACTACCAAGAACCTCCCACAGTTGGTATTAAAAAGGACACATACTCACCCACTAATTCCCCAGAGGAGTGGCAACTAATAAAGGGTACTGCTCCTCTCAACAAACTGGACACAGACATCAATAGAAAAAAACCCCAAAACACATTAACTTTCAAGACACACACAGGTGGTATGCTTTTTAAAGATGTTACAGCTTGAATACTAGGCAGACCAAAGTCAATGTACAGTATGACTTTGCAAATGTAATTTGAAAAAAACAAATAGAAGTTTGAAACCAGCAATGCATTGTTAGATATTAGTTGAAATTCTGTTTTGCATGTTCAATACTGTAAATATACTTACAAATTAAAAATTATGCCTAACAACCTGATTAGAACACAATTAGCAATTAGCAAGCCAACATAAAAAAGAGTTTCACACCAATAGCAATAAAAAAGAAAAAAACAAATGTAGTAGAGCACTAATGATAATAGTAACAAAAGTTATAACCTAAATAGTCAGTCCTCTGCATTTTGCATATTGTGATATACTGTATATTCAAGGATATACTATAAAATTATAAATACTATAAATAACTATAAATATACTATAAAACTTTTGTTACTATTATCATAAGCGTTGCACTACATTTGTGTTTTTCACTGCATTTATTTATTTCAGGTACTTATATAGCGCCGTCAATTTATGCAGCGCTTTACACACATATATTGTACATTCACATCAGTCCCTAACCCTCAAGGGGTGTACAATCTAAGGTCCCTAACTTACATTCATACATACACATATTAGGGCCAATTTAGACAGGATCCAATTAACCTACCAGCATGTCTTTAGAGTGTGGGAGGAAACCAGTGTACCCGGAGGAAACACACGCAGGCACAGGGAGAACATGCAAACTCCAGGCAGGTGGTGCAGTGGCTGGGATTCAAACCAACGACCCTAGTACTGCCAGGTGGAAGTGCTAACCATTTAGCCACTGTGCTGCCCAAAAAAACCTCATAAGATACATTAGTCTGTTTTGTTAGTAAGAAAATCTTGTTTTGTTCTCTGTAATATTATTTGTGATTTTCCCCATTCAAGGATTGTACAACTTTTGTAATCAGAAAGGAATTTGTCTGTCCTTTGTTATAGGATGTTTGAGGTCATTCATGGTGAAAGGTACTTTCCAATCAACCAAGGACATATCTTGCTTATAAACTGACTCAAGAGACACATCTACTTAAGCAGGCCATATGCAGAGATTTCTATTATTCAAACCTGTGGGTTGAACAAGAAGCGTAATAGATACCTCTATTCACGCTTTATAGCACGTGTGGAAAAATTGGCCCTGCTGGCTATTGTGGCTATTCTGACAGCTGTGGCTGGCAGACAGTGACATCATATGATTGACTGCAATCACTGTTCAGTTGTTGATTTTCAGCACAGCTCCTTTGATGTTCAAATCGAACTTTAACAAACTAGGTGGTGCAAATATGGCCACCCACAGATTGAATTTCAGCTAATTCATAAGGAAATAGCTGAAATGTGACCCGTAAATGACAAACTTATAGGTCAACTCCAGGAAACTTAAAAATCCTCTTTTTAAGTGGGGCTGCACCAGCACTGTAACTGCTTGCTTAGGTCTAAGGGCATGAAAAAGTAGATTTGCTTATCCAATCCTCCATGCTGCTAGACCAGTCCCCGCAGCATCTTCTCCACTATGGTACTACAATCTAAGGTGCTGAAATCATTAAGACCAATGTAGGGCCCATAGTCCAGCACTGGGTGTGAAGACAGCAAGGGACAGTCGACCACTGAACCATGGAGGAATACTGCCTACTGTGGGTGTGGAGGATCTGTGGAGGATCAGGTAAGTAGATGTCAGGGAGCGAGGAGCCAGACACACAAGGAGGTGCAATTAAAGGTAGGTTTATTGTACAAAACAAGACAGAGTCTATGCAAGTGCAACAGCAACAGCGGATGACTGAGTAGGACAGAAGCCAGGAAGAATGGTCGCCAGAGCCGAGGTCAGAAGCCAGGAATGATGATCGCCAGAGCCGGGGTTCGGAAGCCAGGAAGGATGATCGCCAGAGCTGGAGTCAGAAGCCAGGAAGGATGATCGCCAGAGCCGGAGGCAGAAGCCAGGAAGGATGATCGCCAGAGCCGGGGTCAGGAGCTAGGAAGGAGTCTTGCCAAAACCGAGTCGGTATCCAGGAGAGCAATGAGAAACCAACAGGAGCTTGTGCAGTGCAACAGACAGGACATGAATGCAATGAGCAGCTGCAGACAGCAGGCTTAAATGTGATAAGCCGCCACCTCCTGGAGGAGGAGCCGCAGAGAACTGAAAGCATAAAGGATCCCACAATGCTTTGCAGACCTCTAAAATGGATGCCAGCACATGGAGCAGCACCAGCTCTGAGGAAAGGTAGGACCTTGACAGTAGAAGTGATCTCCCCTAGACCTAAAAGAGCAGATAGCGAGAATTTTCAGATTTCAGACTTGGGCTTTAAGTGTCTTTAAGTTTCAACTTGACATTCATATTTTGCACCTGATTGCCCTGCTAGTGAAAATTACTGTAATCCATGAAGCCACATACACTATATTGCCAAAAGTATTGGGAAACCTCTCCAAATCATTGGATTCAGATGTTCCAATCACCTTCATGGCCACAGGTGTATAAAATCAAGCACCTGGGCATGCAGACTGCTTCTACAAACATTTGTGAAAGAATGGGTCGCTCTCAGGAGCTCAGTGAATTCAAGCATGGTACTGTGATAGGTTGCCACCTGTGCAAAAAGTCCATCCAAGAAATATCCTTGCTACTAAATATTCCACGGTTAACTGTTAGTGGTATTATAACAAAGTGGAAGCAACTGGGAACAAAAGCAACTCAGCCACAAAGTGGTAGGCCACGTAAAATGACAGAGCGGGGTCAGACCATGCTGAAGCGCACAGTGCACAGAAGTCACTAACTGTCTGCAAAATCAATAGCTAAAGGCCTCCAAACTTTATGTGGCCTTCAGATTTGCACAACAACAGTGTGTAGAGAGCTTCATGGAATGAGTTTCCATGGCCGAGCAGCTGCATCCAAGCCTTACATCACCAAGTGCAATGCAAAGTGTCAGATGCAGTGGTGTAAAGCACACCGCCACTGGACTCTAGAGCAGTAGAGGCGTGTTCTCTGGAGTGATGAATCACTATTCTCTGTCTGGCAATATGATGGACATCTCTGGGTTTGGCAGTTGCCAGGAGAACGGTACTTGCCTGATGCATTGTGCCAAGTGGTAAGTTTGGTGGAGGGGGGATTATGGTGTGGGGTTGTTTTTCAGGGGTTGGGCTTGGCCCCTTAGTTCCAGTGATGGGAACTCTTAAGGTATCAGCATAGAAAGACATTTTGGAAAATTTAATTCTCTCAACTTTGTAGGAACAGTTTGGGGATGGCCCTTTGTTGTTCCAACATGACTGCACACAAAACAAGGTTCATAAAGACATGGATGAACAAGTTGGGGGTGGAGGAGCTTGACTAGCCTGCACAAAGTCCTGACCTTAACCCAATAGAATACCTTTGAGATGAATTTGAGTGGAGGTTGCGAGCCAGGCCTTCTTGTCCATCATCAGTGCCTGACCTCACAAATGCGCTTCTGGAACAATGGTAACACATTCCCATAGACACCCTTCTAAACCTTGTGAACAGTCTTCCCAGGAGAGTTGAAGCGGTTATAGCTGCAAAGGGTGGGCCAACTCAATATTGAACCCTACGGACTGGGATTCCATTAAAGTTCATGTGTGTGCGAAGGCAGGCGTCCCAATACTTTTGGCAATATAGTGTATATGCACCACTGTGCTTGTGATGAGAGCACATTGCACAGTGTGCTCCCAGCACAAAGATTAAGCTGTCAGTGTTGGTTCCAGGTCTTGTACTAACAATTGGGAACTAAGAGACCCAGTTCCCAATCACCTGATCACTGTGATAGCCTCTGATTAGCTATCACTGTAACCAGTCACTGCACAGTCAGCCCCTGTGAGAAAATGAAAGGAAAGAAAAAATAGCTAGATCAGGGTTTGTTCTAGGTCAGTGTCAGGGTTAGAGTCAAAGGTCATGGTCAGAGTCAAAGGTCAGGGTCAAGTAGAACATTTTTTTTTTACAATTTAGTATCAGGGTTATTTAGTAGGATTTGAAAAAAGCAAAATATGCACTATTTTTTCTTAGCCCTACTATGGGTATAACAACAAACAATATACACATATAAAAAATATGTGGGCAGCACGGTGGCTAAGTGGTTAGCATTCCAACAGGCAGGACTAGAGCTATAGGTTTGAATCTAAGCTGTGGCACTACCTACCTGGAGTTTTCATGTTCTCCCTGGCCCTGCATGGGTTTCCTCTGGGTACTCCAGTTTCCTCCCACACTCTAAAGAAATGCTAGTAGATGTATTGGCTCCTGTCTAAATTGGCTAGTATATGTATGTATGAATGTGAGTCAGGGACCTTTGATTGTAAGCTCCTTGAGGGCAGGGACTGATGTGAATGTACAATATACAGTATATGTGTAAAGTGCTGTGTAAATTGACAGCGCTTTCTAAGTATCTGTAATAAATAATATGTGATATCACTGTGATTGTCAGGAGCAGGAGAGATTATTTTGGGCTGTTCTTTGGGGGTAGGTTTATAGTAATAACATTGTACATCTAAACTTAAGAAAAAAATTATGTTTGGGGTAGTTTTCCTTTGATAATAACACAATTCAGGAGATATTCATTACTATTTACCACCAAAGGAAAGCCCAATTTGTCCTGAACAGAACAATGTATAATCCACCTGGATACACTAAGCAGATATGATGATATGTACAGTTTTACTAATACATGTCAAAGTTGAAAAATTGTGTTCAGGCATTAGGATTTGTTTTTACCTTCAGCCATGAAAGGGTTGGGAAGGAGATACATAGCACAGCAAATGTGACAAGAGGCTGCTGTCCCATTGAGAAGCACTAGGTAAATGTTCTGCATTTTGCTACAGTCCTTTATTTAATAAAAAGCATGTAATGACCTTTTTTATTTTCCCCCTCCTCCATTTTGTTGCTTCTCCTTGTCCCCTCCATTCTCCTTTCTCCCCTCCCTCCTTCCCCCTTCTCTTTCCCCTCCCCCACCACCACTTTTTTTTTCTTTTTGTCTTTTTTCTTTCCCTCCTCCCATCTTTTCCTTTCCCTCTCCCTCCTTCCCTTTTGGCTTTTCCCTTCTTTCCTACCTCCCCAATTTATTTTCCACTTTCCCCCTTTCCCCCTTTTCTTTCTTCCTCCCTTCTTCCCCCCCATCCCCCCCAACTCCTTTTTCCCCTTGCTCCCTTTCCTCCTTCCTTTCCCCTCCTCTTTCTCCCTTCTACCCCCCCCCTTTTCCCTTTGTCCCCCCCTTTCCCATTTCTGTCCCTTTTTCACACAAATTCTTTATCTGATTCTATAAAAAGGATTTGCTTTGAAGAAGTCACGTGACCTGTGATGAAACATGGTGGGTGGAGCCTAGTGATGTCAATTCCAGTCATGCCCAAACTGGCACGAGTGATGTGAGGAACCATTTTGATTGATGGCTGTGATATGCTTTTGATTCATTACTTTTGTGAGTACATTTTTTATTTGAATAAAGTGTTCATGTTTGATGGGGTTGCACTATGATTTATTCCTTTTATTTTTGATCATACACATCTTAATTTCACTGGATATCCGATAGTATGATCCCTTAAATGGCCAGAACTAATGAAGTAGCCACTAAGGATTGGCAGTGGATAAGCAGAATTTGGTTTCAGCCCTAAAGTGTTTATGACCTATTTGTTAGGTCAGGGAAGAAGGTGAGTGCATTATGCACCTACCCGGTGATGGGAAACACTACAATATAGTTGGCACGGGGGAGTAATGCATATATGCTCACTATAACTCGGAGTCACATATAATTTGTTTAATGTGAGTGGATACTGTAATACAGGGCTTTAAATTTCAAGTCCTGAGCTACTAGCCAGGCCACCAACAAGGAGCCCTCCTTAAGAGTTACTCGCCACCAACAAAACACACACAAACAGAGACACTTGTTACACACACATACACACACAGAAACATGTACACACACGTACACACACATACATACAGACAACATGTATACACACACAGGCACGTACAGACACGCATACACACAGATATATGTATGTATACATACGCAGAAATACACACGCACAGACACATGTACATACACACAGACACATGTACATACATACACAGACACATGTACACACAGACACATGTACGTACATACACACAAACACACACAGACACATTTACATACACACACACGCACACACAGACACATGTACACACACACATACATGTACAGATACACACAGACACATGTACATGCATACACACACACCTGTAAATTCCTATAAAAGGTTGCAGTACTTTCGTTGTTCACTCACAGAGCCGGTACTACACTCTAGGGGGAGGCAGAGAGCACAGCACACACTCCTTCCTTTGCTTTCACTGCGCTCAGCTATTGAGCAGTCTGTTGGCTCCCAGTGCCAATGACAGATTCAGCATGAGCTCCCAGCCTGCTCAGTAAGACGGCCCTGGGGGACACACTCGCCCCCACCATAATTTCCACTCGCCATTGGTGAGCAGGCGAGTGAAAATTTCAAGGCCTGCTGTAATACATTTAATTTTTGGTTATATAAAATGGTGTTGCACTATGGTATGTTTTTGTTTTATTTTGGAGTTTAAAGAAGCATAATACTTGGAAGAAGCACATCACGGATCAGAAATATGGAGACACATTTTCCTTATAAAGTAAGTTTTTGGCCTATTATAATCTATAGGTCAATGGTCAAGATGAGCAGGGAGTGGGGGAGTGGGGCCACAAGTCAAGCACGGTGTTGATTATTGCTGGATGATAACACAACATATTATTATTATTATTGGAGAAAACATTTTTCTTGGACTGTCACTTTGTGTTTCTAAAGCTTATGGTTCTATTTATGATAAGCTAGCACACCACATTTTTTTCATTTATTTAATTTTGAGTGTGAGTACATCAGAGTAGTGAGTGCATCCCCCCCCCCCCCCCCCCCACCCCCCCCCCCCCCCCTCTTCCCCCGCAACACCACAAGTTCCGTAGCTCGCAATCTTCTCTTCCCTGATATTATTACTATAGTTGGAACATAGCAGCAAATAGGTTCTTACCATTTGTCATGGTGAGGGCTGGCCCATTACTTCTGCTTCCAGCAACTTCTTATTGGTCTTTAAAACTGCTGGAGACTGGCAATACCCAATAGGGATTCCCTGGGATATTGGTCAAGATCAAAAAAAAATATATTATATGCGGGCTGTCATTTTAGATACATTATAGTGAGCAAAATTGACTTTAGGCCTCGTTCACATGAGCATAAAGAACAAGCATCTGCTCTGTGTTATGGAAAGCTTCCTAATGCCTTGCAAAGCCAATGCCTGTTCTGTAACAGTAAAGCAAATGGACTAACACATGTATAAAAATCATAATGCATTTGTGTTGCTTTGCTTCAAATTGTTCTTGATTCTAACAGCTGGCCTTAGCAACTTACAAAGCTTGTAGATGCTCCAATTTAAAGTGGTCTAAACTTACCGATTTAGTAACAGTTTCCCAGAACAGTTACATTCAGGGAATGCCTTGAATAATAACTGTCACGGTTGTTTATGCTCTCAACCAAAGTGTCAAGCCATCAAATGATTGGTATCATAACTGATCACATGTGCAGCACCATGGAAACTGCAGATCAAACAGAGGCTAAGATGGCAGCTTCCTTGGCTGTAAAGGATAGACATGTGCACGCCAGAATTTTTTGTTCATTGAAGAATTTGGTTTCGTCATATTTGTTATGTTGTCCCAATTTATTTTCTGAATTCATTTTGTATCTTCGCCATTTCTTTCATATATTTGTTGTTCCAGGTGGATTCGAAAAATTTTGCTCTATATAATCGATAAATATTGAATTGGACAGATTCAATATTTTCTAATGCTAGTCCAAACCACCAAGAGAAATAGCATGAGCTTATTGGACATTCGAATGAAATGAAGGGAATGAAAAAAAATTTAATATATTTTCCCATGGGCCCAAAACTACTATCGTATGTTGTCACGTCATCCAAATGAAATTAATGCATTCGATAATTTCTGTATAAGTCTAATAGTTTTCCAAAACAATTACAATCAGGGAATGCCTTGAATGATAATTGTCATAGTTACTTGCACTCTCAATAGAAGTGTCAAGTCATCAAATGGCTGGTGTCATAACTGATCACGTGTGCAGTATCATGGCAACTGCAGATCAAACAGAGGCCAAAATGGCAGCTTCCTTGGCTGTAAAGGATAGGAGGGTTTAGTTCTGCTTTAACTATTAGCCGTCCGGCCAATAGCCGTTTGGCGGCCGGAAAAATGCTAGAGATTTCCGGGTGGACGCCATATGGCGTACTCCCGGGCATGCGCAGTTTTGCGCGCTTGCAGAGCTGCGCAGTGGCGCGATCTGTCACCAGCCGTGTACCTCGGACACGGCCAATGACAGATCTGAGTACCGGCCCCCATTGCCGGTACCATGTGACCTGCTGTGACCAATCACAGCAGGTCACATGACAGTTGTATACAATGGATGGCTTCATTCATGCCATCCATTGTATACTAGTGTCTAGCTGGGAATGGTCACAGCGATCACATGCACATGTCATGTGATTAGCTGTAGCCAAATCACAGCTAAGCACAAAAAAAAAAAAAAAAAACCCTGAATGAATTGATGTCATTCAGGTAAATGCTTGCTTATAGAAAAGTAATTCTTTGCTATAAGCAAATTGTGTAAAAAAATAAATAAATACTGATCACTTCCCCAAAGTAGTACAATGTTACTATGGTAACATTGTACTACTTTGGTCATAGTGAAATATGAAAAACAAATCTTAAAAAAAAAGAAAAAAATGTAATAAAAAATTACAAATAATAAAAAAAATAATTATATATATATATTTTTTTTTTCATACTGTCACCAGTCAGTGTCCCTGATCACCGCCATGCCAGTTATATGATGACGCTGTACGGCATTGGTGACAGTATATAAAAAAAAAATAGTGAAAATAATTTTTTTAATTTTTTTTCATTTTCCGAAAAATTATGACAAAAAAAATACAACTTCAAAAAACTCGCCATTCCTCTTATGAAGTCTACTTTGCAAAAAGGGGTCATTTGGGGATATCTGTGTGTTCTGACATTCTTGGACCTCAAGAAATTAGATTGGCTGTCAGTACTTCAGGGTTGATCAATATTCAGATCTATACCATAGTTTGTGAACTCTATAACTTTCCTACAAGCTAAATAATACATCCTAATTTGGGTTATTTTCACCAAAGACATGTAGCAGAATACATCTTGGCCTAAATTTATGAAGAACAATTATTTATTTGCAAACTTTTATAACAGAAACAAAGAAAAACGTGTTTTGTTTTTCAAAATTTTGGTCTTTTTTTCTTAATTTAGCAAAAAATGAAATGGTGATTAAATACCACCAAAAGAAAGCTCTAGTTGTGTGAAGAAAATGATAAAATTTTAGTTTGGGTACAGTGTTGTATGACCGCGCAATTGTCATTCAAAGTGTGAGAGCGCTGAAACCTGAAAAATGGGCAGGAAGGGGGTAAAAGTGCCCAGTATGGAAGTGGTTAAATCAGTGACAGCATTGCCCAAATGAGTCTTAGGTGCTTGTAAAACTTTCAGGAAGCTATTGCTTATAATGGTATTCCTTCTAACAAAAATCTGTTTAGTAAGGTGTTGTGAAAGCTTCAGACAACACCATATATTTCCTATCTGGTTAAATTTATTCTTTGGAGTTGCTTGTTTTAGGACTTAAGGACGCGTTTACTAAAATCCTTGTCCTTTAATTAAACCCCCCCCCCCCAACTTATAAGTGCAGCCTGCTATGTTAAATACTTATCTTCCTCTCTAATCTTACCTCTTGCCTTGCCCAGCACCATATGGCCTATCCAGTGAAAATATCCTTATTGGTTCCTCTTCTTAGTGCCCAAACATGTCCCAGCCCTATTCAGTCCTACAGATGAGCCAAATTCTGTTGGATAGCTGGAAAACAACTCCCCTATAGGAATGAAGTGGACCATGGCACATGTGCGCACAAAGAAAAGGAACTGGTGGAAGGATTTTCCTGGAAAGGCTGTATAGTAGTGGATGGGGTTGAACAGTGAAGTTCACTGGAACGTGGAAAAAAAGTAAATATTTAACATGACCGTCTGCACTTGGAAGGGTGTGAATGTATTGAAGGACAAGTTCACTAAAAATGAATCTGTCGCCCCTCGCTCAAAACGAAAAAGTAAGAAGGAGGTGATCTCATCACTAACTGTTTTTACACAGGTAGACCATTTAGACTTCATTGTATGCCATTTATATTACTTATAATGGTAAAGCTGCATTCTAGGTATGTTTTTTTTGGAAGGTTACATTGGTCCAGCTTGGACCAATGTAGGTATGCGTATTCCATACCTGGCTGGTCCGATACTACAGTTGATCCTTGCTGTCTTCTGGATTCTTTGCTGAGCTGCTGCCCAACAGCATAGTAAACCACAGGGGTTTGCCCATTTGGCATGGGTGCCATTTAGGGAACACATTGTTGCTTTTTCAGTGAATACAAATTGAACAAGGTGGAGATTGTGATATTACCACCCCGCCTCTACCTCTCTAAAATCAGAGGACAATTTGCATTGATTGAGAAATATACACAACGCTCCTTGAATGGTGGCTGTGCCAAGTGAGAAAGGTAAAGTACATATTTGTCAGCACACCATGGATTATCAAATAATATTCAAAAGCATTTATTCAAAGTGATCACATCACAGTGGAAGGGTGCAATGTTGTGGGATCACTCAGGATCCCTTTGTCCGTTGTGTGTCAAGTGATTGACTCCTGTGGTTACTATATAGCAAGGCAGTCACTTGGCACGAGACCCAGAAGACAGTGAGGATCACTGTAGTACTGGCTGCTACTACAGTGTAGTATAGGTAATGTATGTAGAATATGTATAACTACATCAGTCCAAGCTGGACCAATCTGACTATGCAAAAAAAGACAAAACTTGGAGTTTAGCTTTAAAAACTCCCTGATATGTTTGTGCAGTTTCTCCCTATGCACAAAATACATATTTAAATCAAGAAGCAGACTTGTCCTTTAAAGCCATTCTAATAGTTGTGAGTCGCACATCATGACAATATAACCCCTAGATGGCCCTGGAAGACAGCTGCTACCATTACTATTATCACCACTATCACCATTATCTGCATATAAAGTGATCACATGCTATCAGAACACAAACTGTTGATAAACTATTCATGTCAGTTTCCTTTGTGCTGTTATGCTGTTATAAAATGAGCCACATTCATCAGAGTCTGAAGTAACAAATGCCCCATAGCAACTGATAAGACCCAAGACTGCTCGCTTATAAGAAAGCTGGAGAATGATATTGCTATACTGGCCATACAAACAGCAATATTTTGTTGTTTTTTACTCACTTTCAACTTTCACAAAACAAATATTAACCACTTGCCCTCCAGAGGATGTATCCCCCTTCCATTTTTTGCGTTACAGCGCTGCATTACTTTAACTGACAATTGCGCAGTCACGCAAAGCTGCACCCAAATG